TGTTAAAGAACCTGAAAAAAACTTTTTTTTTTTTTTTTTTTTATAGTGTAGACTACATCGAGACAAATAATGTTCAGCTGTTTCTGTAGCTAGTGTTGTAATAGCGGGATGTTTTGCTCCGGCGCGAGGCAGGCACCGGCCCCTCGGCACCGCCGGGCGCCCGCCATCTCTCAGCCGGGGGGCCAACTATTGTTAGTTGTGGTGAAGTAATTTGATGACGTAATGGAGTTTTCTGCCTAGAACAACGCGGTTGGGAACGCAACTGAGAAGCCCTTTTAAGAACCACCGCTGCAAAAAAACAGAAAACACCAGCATTCAAGCAATAAACAAACATATTTTCAGTTTTTATAGTACCGGCAGTACTTCCTTCTTTTTTTAGTCGAGTATATTTACCCTTGCCACGATTGAAGCGCCACATCAGCACATAATTTGGTCTGCCTTCCTTCTGGGTAATTTATCGCCTTACTTTATATGCATTAAACACACACTGACAAAGAACTCCCACATGGACCATAAGAGCGCCATAAAGGAATGAAACGTGTATTAAAAAAATAATTTTTCCAAAGAGGCCGCGCGGGCAATTTGGTGAAGGCCTTCTCCGATTCACTAGCTGCGTTTCGCTCCCGATCGTGCCCTAGTAGCGAGCAGCCATTGTTTTCCGTCTCCGCGCCCAGTGCCTGTCGCCCCACACGGGTCTCGATGACACCCGGGCCTTTCCGACGGTCTCGAGGGGCGGGAGACGACACGACCTCGTCTCGGTCCGCTGCCGTCGCCACCCCGAGTGTTCGCGCAAGCGGGCCACGATCGTTTCTCGCGTCTCGAGACCCCGAGAGGCTCGGCGACGTGCGCCACGCGCTGGGAGGGAGGACGACGCTGCCTCGCCGAACGCGGCCTGGCTTCCGGGTTCTCGGCATTGCCGGCGATCGGCGCGAGCACGGCACGCGTTCCGCCACTTCGCACCGTTGGCCCCTAACGGGGGCTCCTTCGGCCCGATGACTTATGCGGGGGGCCTGTTTGCGCAAGCGCGGTGCTTTTATGGACGGCCAGCCGGTCAACAGGGTCGCGCGGGAGCGAGCCTCGTCGTGTAACGCGCGGGATTTTAGGCAAATTTTGGGCGAGGTGCCGCATCGCTGGGATGCCGCGTTGCGCTGTGTCTGCGATGGAGAAAGCGATTCGTCCTGAAGCCCCTAATCTTCAGCGTCACCCTAACGTTCCTGTCAGAGTGCATCGCACAAATAAGAAACGGGCTCAGACCCGTTTCTTACCTGTACTGGTCACAGATAGTGTCTGTGACCAACATAATACATTGCACAAAAGACAGACTACACACACAGTCCAAGGCGTGATTCTTCCCGCGACATTGGTCGCACAGAAACTTCCCGCAAGTACGTTCGAACCATACGTACGTGTTGTATGCATTATGCGCTTCTAAAATGCTTGAGGCATGTCGGCGGTTTCTTGCTACATCATGTCTGCGGCCGACACCGTGTTTTTATATATAACCTACAATCGGGTTCGAATGAAATACGAACAGTGACGGAACTTCCAGCGCACCACCGGCGCAGGGCGGAAGCTTTTGTCGTGCTGGGCGATATGGCCAAACGCATGGGACTAGTACGCACACCCTGGCAGCGCCCTACTCTCCACCCCGCAGTTTTACGAGTTTCCAGAGGCCTGCAGAAGACGCAGCACGTGTCGACGGCCACGCGCTCCGCTGTTCGCATTTCATCCGAACCAGATAGTACGACGAGCAGTGTGACCTCGAAAGGCCAACGCGGGGCAGGGATTGGACACGAGTGGCGCGTCAACGTTCGACCGAGGCTCGTGTACTCGCTGATTGGATACGAGTCTCGGCCGAATGCTGACGCAGCATTCGCGTCCAATTCCGGCCCCGCCTCCTCAGGGTCACGTTAAAGCGGCATAACGGCCCAACAAGTCAACAGTCTTTCGTCGTTCAGACGGACCCGCGTAGAAGAGGCCACCGCGGGCTCAGCGGGGCAAGTTGGCAAACCCGTGCTCAAACACCTCTCTTACGTTTTATTAAGAAACGAAACAAATATCAGTTCAGTTTTGCCATGTCCGACACGATTCACGTTCCTAAGATATGTGTGTACCGAGACTCGTAGACTCCTGCTGCGTCACGTGATACAACAGTTACGTCGGATGACTAGGTCACGTGACGCTCATACGCTCATGACGTCGCTTCTATTTCACTTCTATGTGTCGGCCTTCTTCCACACTGCCTCCCGTTTTATGCATTTATTTAAAAACAAAAAGAGAAGGTGTCCTGGGTGAGCACAAACGCCACCTAAATCGTGGCGAATTATAGTATGGGACCCCCACGCTATAAAAAAAACATATCTAAACTTGAAAGAGTGCAGAGGACTGCAGTCCGATTTATTTGCAACCGGTATAAAAGAACGAACAGCGTGAATGAAATGATCAGTTCTCTTGGACTTGAAACGCTTCAAACCCGGCGCTTAAAAAAGAGGTTAAAACTTTTGTACTTGATATATAATGATTTAAATCACCTAAAACAGTGCCCTTACGTAACCCGAGTATCGCGCGCAAATGCTCGTTTTAACAATGGCAAAATGATTCGGGGGTTTCGTGTGCATAATGATACGTTTAAATGTTCGCTCTTTCCCAGGACAATAACAGCATGGAACTAGCTGCCAAAAGATATAGTAGAAAGTGGCAGTGTCGAAGAATTTATTTCAAATTTGAAAGTTGTGCCCAGGTGATTGTTTGTAATGTTTTTGTTGCTGATTTGTTTTCTTCAAGTTTACTTTGTTCTTATGTCTTGCAGCTGGTATTGATGCCTTCTCGGTGTTGTATATCATGTTTCTATTGTGATGCTCACTCCTGCCTGTACTCTAACATGAGTCTGCAGTATTTATAAATAAATAAATAAATGATATATCCGAGGGAAAACGGAAAGTTTATTTAAATGCCCGTAAAATAAGAAATCTATCTTAAACTATGTTTTCCTATTTTACAGTTCACCTTTGTCATTTGGAATTAAATTTTCTCCTCAATATGTGAAATTTCTCTCGATTCGGCAGCGCAGGCTTAAAAACATTGTTCTTTATGCCAAGACCACATCCGCTGAAGTTTCTAAATACATACCGCCAAACGATGCAATCGGAATACCGATCATTGGTCTTTGTTCAGTCAACCGATGAGAAGCCTAATTGTTATCACAGCCCAATAGTCACGTCTTTTCCAGAGACCCCATGTGTGGTGGACTATGCCTACGACCGCCAGTCTCAGTGCTTGCACCGAGTAGAGAAGCAGTCGCTGGTTACACCTTACAAAATCGTCATGACCACGCCTTTATGAGGCTCTTTCACGAGTCATGACGTACAATACGTTTTTGAGAAATATCGGTGCAATCGAGCGGGACACGTAGTGCCACTTCTGACGAGAACGAGAACGCCATTGTTTGTCGTTGTGGTCACGTGATCGCTTACGCCAGTCAATGGGAGCGAGGTGCCGCCCGCGAGGAAGTCTTCGGCTCTCATAACCACCCCTGCCCGTTTCGATCTGGATGAGCATCGTATCGGCGTGCAAACGCGTGTATCACCACTGCGTGGTGCACGTCAAAGACCCCAGGTTAGCAGTCGTACTGCACTGGCTAAACTTGTCCTCTACAGCTGAGAGCAGGGTTGGGCAGTGTCGCGATACAAATGTATCACCGATAGTATTTGCGAAATACATTATGTATTTATATTTCGGTAACGCGATGCAATTTTTCAGTTGAATTTAGTATTTTTGTATCGGAATACATTTTCTGGCGCATTCTTAGTATCAATAAACTATTAGGGCTGAAGCATTTTGGTACAATCTTAAAATAGTGTTGACCTCCACACAGAGGGTCAAGACCACGTTTCGCCAGGGATGTTGTGTGTCTTTTACCGCACATGACTGCTTTTTTTATGCTGCAAAAGTTAAATGTGTTCTCATACGTTAGGTGGTCAAGTATACCAGTCGATTCCAAAATTTTAAGGCTCTGTCGGCGCACACAATTATCAGATACAATTATTCAAGTTCCTTGAACTTCAATTCACGGAGACGTTAAGGGGTCACTGCTGAAAGAGGCGTCCGGGTTGGACATACTGTATTTGATGTCCCTGGGATTTTGTTTAAGAAAGATAAGAGAGGAAGAAATAAAACCGCGCTCGAGCCACGGTGAAAAAAATCGCTCGCTTTCTTACTAGTTCCCAAAATGCAAGATATTAATTTTGCGGTAAATTTGATTTGAGCTCAATTCAGTCTACAACATGCAGTGAAAACTCGCTTGTTGGTTTAAAAACAAAATCTCTCATTCTAGAGAATGCTTCTCTTTGTTCTAGTATGCTATAAGGAGTGCACCAAAACATCTAAAATAATGTGTTCTTTTTATAATAAGGTAGTTGAGTGTCTGTACTTTAGCGCCACTAAAATGTATTCCTGTATTTGTATTTCCCTTTTTTTTAAGTATTTCTGATACATATTGCGATACATTTTTTTATAAATGTATTTCAGTATCAGTTTTTTTAGCTGTTTTTGCCATGTATCCCAGTATTTGTATTTCCATGTATTTTGAGAGTATTTCTCCCATCACTGGCTGAAAGACAAGCCGCCAGTTGAAGCAGGCTAACTTCAGGCTGCATAAACATACACACAAAACACAATTTTTCATTGAGTCTTGGTGGCAAAGTTTAGTCCTTTTGCGCCAAGGCTGCATGGCCTTAACTTGATCATGTCACTGATAACCCCTCGCATTTTTTTAATGACCGTACGACGGAGTATTCGCGGTCTTCGCCGTATGCTCTCCATGCTAAACGCGTGCTGGCAGTGAGCGTTTGCCAGATTCGTTTCGCATCGTCAAAACTGCTATTTATGATGAACAATGAGTTGCGTTACAATGAATTTTGGTTGGAGAGCTAGCACCCACTTATGCGGAATGTTTGCAACTCTGCCGCTGCCGGCCCACGGCCGGAACCACTGTTACTGATGTACTTCCAAAGTAGAACATATACTAAAATTTAAAACCCCACAGATAAGAATAGCATGGCGTCAGCGTAAGAATGGTACGTAAAATCGTGAAGCGTTCCACATTATTTTTTCTCCTGACTTCCCCCTTTCACAATAAACTCCAAAATAAACAAGTGGGATCGATTCGAATGGGAAAGTCTAGTGTCCTGCCGAACTGTTACGCAGCGCTAGTGCCCGATCGATCGGTGGCTTGGCCCGCCCGCTCCTTTTGGTCACCGGCCGCACTGACTAACTGCCTACCAAGGCGCCTCCTGTTGACGGCTTTGAGGCTACTGGCAGGTAACGGTAGTCTGATTTGCCTTGGATAAAGGACCACACAAAGGAAGAGGGCAGAGAAAGATATTCTGTCCCGTCTTCGGTCTTTTATGTTGCATTCCGTTTAGCCTTATAACAGACCACCCCAATTTGTCGAAAGTTGCCTTCTGCTCGTGTAATTCACGTGCGACATGGACGTCAGCTCGCGCAACAGGCCCGGAACGTCCTCCCTGCGTTTTCACGAGCTGTTCCAATCGAGCCCTTTCCGAACAAGGCGGCTGGGAGCGCTGGAGAAAGCGGCATGCTTCGTGTGAGGAAAGCTGAGCGACGCTGCAGGGTCGACCCCGACTCACACCTCTCACGTGACCCCAAGGAATGCGCAAATGCTTGACTATTAATCGAAAAAAATGTAGCGCACGCGCATTTCCCATCAATTCTGCGAGCAAAAGCCCATGTTTGTAAGCGATGTGGGGAACCGCTGTCACACATCACACAAAAGACTGTCTGTAGACACTGTACGAGTCATTTCTTGTATAAACATCACACGGGTCATAAGAAGCAGACATGTTCGAAGCACACAAGAAGCAGACTTCGAACATGCTCGAGGCGCTGATTGTCATCCATTCTCCAGCGATAACCGTGTCTCTTGTCTCCTGGATGTTACGCGCTGCGTTGTTGTTCTCCAGAAACCCGTCACGTCCGGGAGCCTCACGTCCGGGAGCCTTCGGTCGGACTTCCTCCTTCGAAGGGGAGCGAACGCTATCGCTGGCAGCACTGTTGCGCCCAAGTCGGAGATGTGCGCGCTTCTCTCCTGGATTTCCTGTCCCGGAGAACTGGCGTCGCCGAAATGGGCCGCGCGCTGCTTGTCGCCCAACTCCAGATCCGACACCGCTTGCCGAGTTTGAAGCTCCCTTTCTTCCTACGCTGTCTTCCCGGGGCGTTCGCTGTGCTGCTCGTCCGTCAATTATCGAGGGGTGCGCCGAGCGTTAACCCACATCGCTCCGATTCGTGCCCTGGTCGCCACCTTTGCGCTGTCGCTTTTCATTGGGGACGCTCGCGCGAGATCTGGTTCTTCTCAGGTCGGTGGGTGGGGTGCTGTCCTCGGTGACGGTGGGATTCCGAGCCTGAAGCGTTTAAAGAACCTCGCAAGGAGCGGCGGCGACCCGGAGAGCGTTCCTCCCCTGGCCGCCATCGTCTCAGTTAGGACGACACCAGGTGATGCCGAAGACTCCCTAGAAGCTTTTGAATTCGCCGCGTTTGTTTTTACCTCTTTGCTATCTTGGGGCTCATTGGGTTCAACCTCAGACAACCGCGGTTTACACCTTAGTTACACACGCCTCCTTTACCGCAGATGCGCTCGATCACATTTACCACCCTCTACCTTCGGAAAGCTACTTCAGGAGAAGTGAAGAGTGCACAGCTTTGGTGGGCGCCGAAGACGCACACGGGCGCCCATGGCTTTGACTGCATAACCGCAGAGAGGTGTGCAAGACTATAGTGTGGTAGATGTGGTTAAATGTAACTGCAGTTAAGTGTGCACGCTTAACTAGCGTGTAACTATAGGGTATTGTAGCCTTAGATACATGTAGCGGAGCGCGTTGGATAGACTACAGTTCACACAGATAAGCGGTTTCCGCAGTGTGAAGGGCATCATACAAATGTAGTTGCTCGTTGAAAGGACGGTGAGCGTCTGTCCCTCGTCTATTTTAGTGTTTTGGTTCTTTCTGTGTGAACTATTATAGCCCTATTTGTTGCCGAGAGAAAGTCTACGGTTTTTGGTTCGTTGCGTGGATGGGTGAGAGTGACAGGTCATGGGGAAAAAGGGATGTTTGAGGGCGCAATGGGAGCCTAATCATCGCACATAAAAATTAAAAAAAAAGATGCTTGTTTTATAAACCCCCCAAAAGTTTATCCCGTCCGATAACCTAAATTGACAAGAAACAAGCAAACATATTTTTTCTATCAGTAGGTTAACTAGGCTCCAATTAGAGTGACCATCGTCCCGCAACTCGCGGGACTGTCCCACATTGAAAGCTCGTATCACGCGTTCCGCGAGAAATTCCTATATCATCCAAATGTCCCGCATTTCACACTGTCCTGAAACTCACTCTGGAACTCATGGTGCTGCCGAAGAACGGGACACGTGGAAGCGCGGAGGTCGGTGGTAATCGCGTGAATCGCCATGGTACGCCATTTTCTATCCAAACACTGCCCCTCTCCTTGGTGGCGAAATATTTTAAGAGAAAATTGTTCGCCAATAGATTAAATGTAAATTATTGTATGTCAATACGAAAGGGTTGTGTGGAATGTTTTTCCCTGTATAGGTGAAGACAGCTGCCCAAGGCAAAAAACCTGCCCGCATTTCCGTCATTTTCTTTTAAAATGAGGAATTAACGAAACAAGAACGCAATGTTAGAAATTTGTGTAGGACCATGTTAATAAAAGTAAGCGTTGACAGGAAACAATAACCCGAAGAATTTCAGTGAAAAACAAGAGACTGGGGCATTGACAGACGACGACAAGGAAGAGAAGGAGAACTAAAATGCTTGATATACACCGGCTCACTTGGGCCCTTACGTTCTGCTCATTAACCCGAAGAGGATTTACTCTTTCTTAATTTCATTTGATGCATTCAGTTCTGCTGCAGTTAATTTTTATGCTTTTAACTGCGATACACTTAATAACATATTTGGCATAAAATATATATCACTGGGAGTGAAAATTATTTTGGCTTAATTGCTGCAATACAATTTGCAGGTGTATAAACGGCAGAGGATATTAAATGTGTTAAGAGAGCCTTTGTTCGTGGTGTGCGTATTCAAAACTTTCCTCTGCCCCCCCCCCCCCCCCTCCCCTTTTCCGCGGGTTTCACATTTTGATAGGAAGGGGCCAGCCCTACCCAGGGTGAAATAGCCCCAATAAGAAGCCGTCGCAGGCCCCAGATCAACGTAATTTTGGTTTTCCACTGACTACACTTTTTCGCCGAGAGCTTATACCATCGAAACCATTCTGACGTGTTCAAATGTCGTGTTTTCTTCGGGACGACGTAAAACTCTGCATTTAACTTAAACCTTTGATTTAAAAAAAACTGTTTATGACGCTTAGCAAGCTTCTTGTCGACGGCACCAAGAGGGTAGCCGAGTATTTTAGCTCCCAAGATCTTAATAATACGTCGGTTGCCACCCTAAGGCTTGAGGATTTCTTTTAAAAACAATACCTCTTTCCCGACTTATTAAACAGTTGCCTAATATGATTAAACTAACGCGATGAACTTCAATTTATTTTTGGTACAAGGAGTAATTGTCGTAGGTACATTTTTAGGTTGCGTTTGGTGAAACGCGCCGTGTATGTTTAGCCGTTCTTTTTATGCGAACTTGCGGGTTATACGTAGAGCATGGCTGCAGCTACGACTTTATACGGCTATAAAGAAAAACTGCACTTCGTTGCTATGGCTTCGTCACTGTTACTAGCAGTCAACGACTGGCCGTTATAACCGCAATAGAAGTGCTACGCTATGAGCGCAAGTCTGCTACATGGCGCGTCAAAACGAAATTTTTGAAAAATATCACTCCACACCTGCGTTATATAGGATGAGCTAAACAACACAAAAAATAATTCACTAAAAGTCATATAGGTCATCACTAACACAAGAAGTAGAAGATAAGGAAAAGGGGCAAACATGCATTTTACGGTGTTTCTTCTCACGTTAGCTAAAATTCGCTCATCGACCGCGCTGTCCACGTCAACGTCTGAACTTCCAGACGACGATGCCGTGATGTCGGCGATGTCATGGAGCTAAAAGTTGCGAGAATTCATAAAATGGCGGGGATGGAATAAGAGAGAAGCAGGGTCGCATGCTCCCATGGAGGTGGGAATAAGAGGAGGCGATATACCGGACCAAACGAGAGAATCCCAAGTGAAGCCGGAACTAGAGGTCGGTGGGAACTTCGCCAAGGGCGCCCAAGTCCGTCCAATAGCCTCTTTTGGTTTTGGTCATCGTTGGTGGTGTGTCACTCTACACCGGATGTCTCCCCCGGATTCACCTCTGGTGGCGGGCGTCATGTCGCCCCCAGTATCTTCCCACCTCCACGCATACTCTCGATGAGATCACCTGATTATCACCTCAGCGACGTGTCTGCATCCACGCCGTGGGGAGTCAACCTTCACCATCTCGCGTAGGAGCGCACAGACGCGCACAGACGCAGGTGGGCCGAGCTTCACCACTTTGCTTCGTTGTGTTAGGGGAAACGGATTACGCGGGCTTGCGCCCATAAATTAGCGCGATGGGCCCGGAGAATATCCTCAGTCAGTACTGTTACATACATGTCTACCTTTTTTTGGTCTTGATTGTGGGTCGACCTCTAATAGTAAAGAGCGGCGAAGAGAAAACAAAAAACAAAGCAAGCAACGACGGCCTATCTCTGAATAAGTCGATCGAAAGGGCACCGAACTCTTGGCTCCCAATGTTGCTAACTTGGGCAGATTTAGAAGTGTCGCTTTTAAAGCTCAAGTATAAGCTACGGTAATAATTAAAATGGTGGTTTTTGCAGTTTATAAAACTTGATACTTGAGTTTGGAAGGTTAAAAAAAATTTGGTGAAATGTATTTTCTTTCGTAGACGTTTGAGCAGATGTGCTAGTTTTTCCGTCATTTTGTATAGATGATATTTTATTTATTTACTTACGTATACTGCAGGCAGCAGCGCTGCCTAAGCAGGGAGGGTTAGGAAAGGAGTTTCGTCAAAAGATGTTTGAATTGGTCGACATCAGTACATTCCACAAGCAATGGCGGCAAGCAGTCCACTGTTCAATT